CAGGAGACTGCTGGGCGCTGCTAAATGGGCAGCTCGACCGCGGACAGGCTATTTGAGTAATTCATTTAAAATGTTCCAGGAAGGGAATGAGATGTTTTGCTGTGACTTAGCTGTCTTTGGCTGATGGTTAACTTCACATTAGAAGGCTGAAGGTTCATGTCTTGGTTGCTGCTGTCTCTGTTGCCTGGGGATTATGGGAGCCGCAGGGCTGTGGCACTGCACTTTCTCACCCATGGCAGGCTCTGCGTAACGCCCAGGAGCAGAAGAGTTTGGTACGGAGACCGCAGGGTGCGGCTTCTGGCCTCTGCTGTCGGGAGGTCGCAAAAAGGGACTCCAGGGGATCCGAGAGAAAACACGACTCCATATCTTTCATGTCTGTTATCAAAAATTGGAACATCTGAGCAGAAGAATCATGATTTCTTCTCAGAAAGCTGCTTAGGTCACATACAGGGAGACCTTATCGCTCTCTACAACTACCTGAAAGGAGGGTGTAGTGAGGTGGGCGTTGGTCTCTTCTCCCAAGTAGTTAGCGATAGGACGAGAGGAAATGGGCTTAAGCTGCACCAGGGGAGGTTTAGGTTGGAAATTAGGAGAAATTTCTTTACAGAAAGGGTGGTCAAAAATTGGAACAGACTGCCCAGAGAGGTGGTGGAGTCACCATCCCTGGAAGTGTTCAAAAAACGGGTAGATGTGGCACTTGGGGACATGGTTTAGTCTAGTCTACCCTTGATTGGTTTAGTGTGGACTTGGTAGTGTAGGTTAATGGTTGGACTTGATGATCTTAAAGGTCTTTTCCAACCTAAATGATTCTATGATTCTATGATTCTATTGTGCATTTGCGAGCTGCCGGGCAGAGCGCGACCGAAAGCCAATATTTACCCATGCAGTCCTTACTGGCAGCTGCGGCGTGTGTAAAGCCGGGTTCGCTTCAGCTACGTCCCTTCCTCCCCCCCGCCGTGTCCATACGCTGCTCGTTGCCTTAGGGCTGGCCGTGCTGTCCCCGGGAAACCCATAGATTGTGGCGGAGCTGAAAACTTTCTGTGTAAAATTTGTAGAGGTGGGAGCACGCCTGCCCCAGGACCTGGCACAGCGTCCCACAGAGCATCTTCGAGCAGCCTTCGAGCAACATTGCGTTGTTATTGGTATGCATGGTGGTCTGGGAAAGATTCATAAGTTATGAGACATTTTTCTGTTTAACAAAGGCTTCTTTTTCTGTCAAATCTGAGAAAGTGTCGATTTTCTTTATCAAAGGAAGTTCCTTCACTTTTAGACAATAAAAAACCCCGAACGGGTGGTTTAGCTTTCTCCAGAATGAGGTTGGCTGTCAGTCAGAATATGCCACCCAGTAATGAAGGTCGAGCAGGGAGATAATTTCATGTGGCTATCAATCTCCTGTATTAGCAGAAGACAGTGATGGAGCTGAGGTGGGCTGTCTGTTTGTATCGTGTTTGCGTAAGGTCAGGCACCGAGACAACAGTCGCTCGCAGTCAGCGGGGAAGTGCAGGCAGGCTGCGGTGCGGATGCTGAGGACAGCCTGAAGGTCAAGGCTGACAGGATGACAGGCGTCAGCACGGGGACGATGCCTCCGTGCCTGTCCGGCTCCCGCCTCGGTGGCACGGCCGCCGTACCGCAGCCGGGACGGGAGCAGGACGGCTGCTGGTGGAAATGCACCTCCAGCTTGGAGCTGACCCTGTGGCCGCAGCAGGTGCAATGGGCAAAATGTGATTTTGGGGATAGTTTGGAGCCCTGTTGCTTTAGATGTCAGGGTTTGGTTCTCCCACGTCCTTTGGGTTCATGTACCTTATTCAGACCCCTGAAAGCCTGATATGATCTCTCCAAAAGAAGGCTGTAAATCACTGCTATTTGCATGACAGCCCCCTTAATTTTTCTGTTTATTCTGTTATTTTCATCCTTTATTCTGTTAATTTCATCCTTTTCCAAGTAAAAATGGAGTTAAATGTAAATTGCTTGTCCTAATTTTCACCTCCTGCAGACACCTGAATATGTAAGGTGTGGTCACTAGTGAGTTGATAACAGGGTTTGGTCTACCAGCTACCACCGGATGCCTTTTGTAAAGTCCTGCCATTATGAAAGATGATGTGATTTCTGATGTATTTACCTATGTGACAGGTAAGAAAGGCATAGCGCTATTCAGGCATCCGACAAGACACGCTGTGTGTTTATTGATGGCCGTTTGCTTTTGGTACCACCACCAGAGCGTTGAGGCTGTCACTTCCCTTTATCGACAGCCCTCCAAAAAATGGTGAAGGCAAGAAGCAGTAATGGTTTTAAGAGGACATCATGATTTGGGGTAAAATTATGAAAGGTTTTACATGATCGCCCAGATCTTTCCCTGCCTTCTGTTTCCATCTTTGTCGCTGTCCTCACGTTGGAGGGCTGTGACAGTACTGCCAGCGTCGTTTGACATGCAGAGAAGTGATGTGTTAGAGGAGCCTCGCTGCTTCCCTCTCTGCGCACGGGAGAGGCGTTGAGGAGCAGAAAGTTGAGCTCGGCTTTCCCAGGCCCAAAGTTAGTGCCTAAACCTTGAAGGGTGATTCCTGCCCCTTTTGCAGGAGTGGCTTTCAGGAGTGACCTTGGTTTTGCATGTGCCTTTTTTGGATCTAGCCATGTAATAACTTTTCTTTTTAAATGTTAAAGTTGGCATCAGAAAAGACTTCTTCTATGCTTGCTAATCCCAAACTTACAAAAATAAGACTAAAATATTGATTGTGTGCCTGCTAAGTATTAGAAGATACTGAGCTTATCAAAATCAGGATGCCGGACTGAATCCCCTCCGGACTGGTAACGACTGAACAGCATTATTCTCTGCAAGTTGTTCAATGACTATTTACCCAAGGTCCAAGCAGTTACCAGTCTCTCTATTAATTAATTTGATATATCAGCGATGCGCCTTTTCCTCTATAAGCTGTATTTTACAGCATCGTGCTTGTTTTCAAGACATAGCTCTTTCGTTAGCTAATATTAGCATTAGCTTTCATTGGTTTTTTACAACTGTAAGCCAGCGGAAATAATGTTATTGTCATAAACCTCGAGGAATTTAAAAGTCTGCATAACATATTTGTACTTTTTTTCCTGTTGTATTCTAATTACATA